CCGAAGATAGTTTACGGCATGCAAATCAACATTTTCTGCATTAGTAGTGCCTGGCATCTAAAATCTAGTCTAAAAGCAACTCGAATAGTTTCATGATGCACCACGGATGCATTTTGATCTATCACAATACCTCGCTAACGACTAAACATTTCCAGATGATGGGAGCCGTTCTCACTCATTTTTTCGGTAACCAATGAAGCTTATATCAAAAAAGTCTAACTTCACCTCTTGTACTAAAGATGGAGGTCTGAAACTTTGCTAGCGACTGATAAGTGTGTCAATGTATTCACTAAATGAACGCAGTTCTAAAGGTTCTTTGATTGCCGAGATATGAGAGAAGCAAAAAATGGACGAAACACAATAACGGCATCTATAATCAGGCTTAAATCATGCATAATAACTTTGTAAAACGAAGGGACGCGCATACAAATTCCTTTGCACTTCTTAATACTACCATGAACCCTATGGTTCGATAAAAACCGAGTGAGAATGATTTCAATCATCCTGGAGTGTTCCCTCCTAGTATATTTTGTCATTGGCAATGTAGAAGAATGTTCATCCAATAGCATCTGAAATCTGACAAATCTTAACTCAAGACATAGTTTCACATCTTTAGCCTGACTAATGATTGCCATGACAAGGTTTTATTGTAGAAAACAACCAATTGGATTGGAGATACATCTTCGGTGGATACACTTTTGGGATCTGATGCATGTGGACGGTTGTTATCTGCTGGTATGTTAAAAGAGTTTTTCGAATTATTTGTAAGTACAAATTTTATTTCTAGGTCACCCCGTTCATGAATGGACATCATATACGGCTATGAATTCAATATTTGAGTACTTCGAAATCATGAAGACAAAAGTAGAACACTAGAAATGAACAGTCACAGATGATGATAACTGTTGAAAAGTCTGATAAACTTGTGTAATACAACTGAATTTTTTGCATAATTTTTGTTTATATTTGCTGTTTGACATCAAGTTTGAAGAATACATATCAATCAAGACAAAAAACATCATTTGAAAAATAAAACTTTTATTTTTATTTCGAGTGAAAACGTATGCAGTCTAATAACAAAATGAATCGGAGAAAACGATAATCTAAACTAAAACAGATTTGTTGACTGATAAATATTGGGAGATAAATTCTTTTCGAGATTTAAAAATATCCTATTAGAGACTTTAAAACAGCGGCTAATTCACATCATCTTAACACTTAAAGACAAAAGCAACTTCTTCCTTAAAGAAATCACTGTTTAAAAAGTAAATATAGTAGATGGTGCAATAAGAATGACTTACTTCTGCAATCTCTTTCCTTCCGTATGTTGCTCTGTTATCTAGATGTGACTAAAGTTCATTCGATAAAGAATTTATTTCTAATACATAACCAAAATCTGAATATAATTCGTGTCTGAGGGAAAGTAGATAGATAGCAAAGCTGTTCCGGATGTTATTGCTACATAGCACTAGTTTATTCTCTAGTACTAAAGAATGAAAACCAACACAAGGAACGATATGAGAAAACAGCTTCACACTGAAAGATAGCGAATATTTTACATCTTTGTAATCAAGATAGCCCAGAACATTAGGATGGATTGTTTCAGAAAGAATTTTTAATATTTTTCAACTGAAATTTGCTCTTACTGTTATGAAAGTACATGCCGCAGTCTTACATAGGCTAATTCCACACAGCTTCTACTACGTTTTATGGCATATGTACCATAAAACGTACTTTTCAAAATCTCATCCAGACGCTTCAAACTTTACCATGGTTTCGCCCTGGCACTGGATACACTGTTATCCGTCCAAAAAAAGAATGACGCACGGCCATTTTTGTATAATTTATGAATGGTGCTGATTAGAAAGCTGGAGTTTTTACATAGAGCTTATGGAGCATCCTTTTACAAGAATTTTTCAAAATTCGGTTTTTCGGGAGATTAATGGATAACTCTTGCAAAAAAGAAAAATTTATAATATCAAGCTATTGATTTTTTTACACCAGTAGATAGAAGAAAGTGTTCTCTTCAAAATGGAAACTAAGCGACCTCTTAAGAGACGATTCGCGAGGAAAGCGAGTATTTTGCGAAAAACGCGTAACATGCAAAAATTTGAGATATGATTTTTATTTGATTTTTAGATTCTACAATCAAAACTGCAGTGACGAAAGAAATTGTTCACTTCCAGACTTTATTTTGACTGAGTTACGGAATTCGGTTATGGGTGATCAATGAATAGAAATGAATAGAAACATAGATTATCGAACACACTAAGTCCAGTGGCAGCATTTATTTTTCCAAAACAGGTTCTTTTGGCGTAAAATTAGGAAACTCATAACTTAGTCAGAACCGATCCAGACTATGTCTTATATCAAAATACACTCGATTCTATCTATCTAAAACATTTTGAAAAACCGAATTATTTTATGTTGGTTTTTAAAAGTTCTGTCGAGCTCCATGATATGTTGTAGATGCCTGTTTTCAGTGACGAAAATTCTCTGGGCATGTGACGAAACTTTAACTACGTTTCCGCTTTTCTGCATTAAATATTTCCTTTCATTCTATCAGAACTGATTCTTACTTTAGCATAAACTGAATCTATTAACTTTCACTCAATAACCGCTACAACAAATGTAAAAAGCACCATATTTATGGTTCGATCTTGGCAAGCGGTCACCCACCCACTAATCACACTTATGCACAATGGAGAAAGACAAAAAGTATGAAATCAGTATGAATCATTTCAGAGAAGCAGAATATGTGCAGTGACCTGCTCCGTTCTCGTCGTGTGAAAGTTAGCGTTCTTTGTTTGATAAGAACAAGGAATAGTAACTCAATAATGTAACTGTCTTTTTTATTTGATTCAGGGAGAAGTCCATGAAAAGATCTAGAATTTTAGTTTTTTCAGATTTTCAACGATAAGGTATAAAATTTCCAAATTACGACAGTGCCGAATATCCCCATCTCTTAATCGATAGCGGAAGTTCCTATGCCGAGTGAAAAATCCAATCGGTGAATGAGTCGCATTTCAGTCTCAATGAACAATACAATGATACGTAAGTTATACATCATTAGAAAAGAATAAATGATAGAAAAAAATTTCTATGCGTCAAAAAAGCATGTAAAATGCTTTCTTTCTGTTGTCATGCCGAGAGAGTAAGTTACTGCAGAATAGTTATAGTAATAGCTATAGTTATAACCATTCTATTCTTTATTCTTTTCTTACACAATGTGGCGAAAGAAAATTTTTTTTAATCAACAGAACAAATCATATGAAAAAAATACAAAAGAAGACAGAAAGAAATAAGAAAAAGAACGTATTTTGATGATATTTGAAAACAGAATAAAGAAGAAAGCTTGCTGAGAAGGTATTGCTGGCATCATACGTTGTGACTATTTTTACTCTGCTGATCATGAACCTATCCACTACAAATTTTGGTCCTAATTTTAAATTTATTTTATTTCATCCATGTTTGTTGTACGGGAAAAGAGTTAGGTAGAAAAACAGTATTAAGGCATTTTTCTATATTATAGAAGAAAGGAAGTAGAGGAAACCTGCGACAGAATAACCAGGCTTGCTAAATAGGGTACCTACAGTTAATATCGTGAAACTAAATCTAAAAATCAGTCTTTTTCTGACCAAAAAGTATTTTTTCTTCTAGATTTAGTGGTTGAATCGAATACGATAAAGAAATCGAGAAAACTGAACTGTAAGGGTAGCCATTTCTAAGGTTTCGAATACTCAACAACGATATGTACATTTTAGATTATCCGTTATCTATCAATAAACAGAAGCAACAGTATTGAGTGTGAAGAAAAAACAGGATTGGCGGAAAACGTCGAAGAGGAAAATGTAGAATAGCAAAATGCCGGAAAGGAAACGATTCCTTTCTGTTCCTTGAAAATAACTGAAAGAGATATTTTGTTAAATCACATAGAGAAAGAGAGCAGAAGAAAAATGATACGGCTAACAGATCGTGATCTAATTTTTCATATCTGCTGATAAACAACGCTAATCCAACCAGCAGCTGTTTTGCATTGATTTCTCTATTCAGAAAGTATCCATTGAGTGTGTCAAATCATTGTTAAAAAGCTGTTCTGTTTACTATAATTGCTCTGGAGCCGCTGCCTTAGCACCAAGTTGTATAGTGATGCGTTAAGGGTACCCTCCCCCCCACTCAGTTTTTTACAGGTTTTTTTGCGCGACTTTCAGCATTTTTGGGATATCTCGAGAAGGAAAGCTTATTTTTTGAAAAGAAAAAATGAATCGGAGATAGGGTTTGAAGTATCTATGGTAACATTTTGAGCCCGATCGTACTATTTTTCGAGGGATCGTAATGTGACTGGATGAAAACCAGAGTTTTCTAGAAAATCCATAGAAGAACATGTCACAAAATTCTGTGCAAAAATACATCGATTTTCTTTTTCGATGTTTTATCTCTGTTATAAATTCCACCCCGATCCGACATCGGCGTCGCCGGTTTCCAAGAGGGTCAAAAGAGAGCGGGGTACCCCTAAGCGTGGGGTGAGGGTAAGACATTCGTCGGTGTAGCCATACTGAACTTCATCATACTTTACTTTTGCAACAAGTGGCTATGATTGTTAAGAAGCTGGATAAAGTGTACTCCTAGCCCTAACCCTACTCTTACTTGTCACCAATAATCGTCCGAATAATAAAAATACACATATCTCTTTCAGTGATTTTCAAGGAACAGAAAGAAATCTTTTACTTTTCGAGATTTTCCTTCTTCCCACTCTTCTTTCGACATTCCCTCTTTTTTTATCGAGATTTTCCTTTTCGACATTTTTCCATTCGACGTTTTCTACCAAGACCTAAAAAACAGCTTCAATTCACTTCTGCTAATGTTTAGATGTATCTCTCATTCGACATGTTACTACTTTAATTACATCGGTTCATCTCAGCTTACCATCTAAGTACTCTGGTGTATTCAACTATCGAGAAAATTTTAAGTTAACTGTTAACTGTTCAGATTATCTGAATATGAAGTGTCAACGTCTAGTTCTAACAAATTATCAACGATTATTTCGTCGAACGTTTTTATCGAACGTTAATACGAACAATGTTACCATAAACAATAATCCAGGTTTATATGGTTACATGCTTGGTTCAGAATTTAAAGCACAACCAAAATTACTTCAATTATTCCATTCAGTTCAAGCTGAAACATCATCATCAATCGTTCATTTTTGCTCAGGATCAATTGTGTGCCACCGAGGTTCAGGCTTATTAGCAAAACTTATTTCACGTCTTGGTGGTGCACCACCACCAATGAAAAAAGGTTCAGTTTATGTTGAAATTCAGCAGTCTATTGATGGACAAGAAGAAATTTGGACACGTACTTTTGTTGATGATAATGACAAAAATAATAAAAAAACAGCATTTCGTTTTCAAACTATACAATATTTAAAAGACGATCATCTAATTGAAATTATTGGGAATAGTCTATCACCGATAAAAATGCAATTTGTATTTAAAATTCAAGCGGTATACAATAATTCCAAAACAAATGAATGTATTGGTTTTGATCACATATTAAAATCTGTTCATTTATCATTTGGAAATTCTCGACGATTTTTGATTAAACTACCAAAAGTTTTACAACCTTTAGCACATGGTGAAACTCGAATTGATTTATCAGACTCCAAAAGTTGGAATCTTAAAGTTGAACTGTTTGCTCCAAATTTGAAAATATTTTCATGGTTCATGAATGATAAGAGACGATTTATCGGCGGTTATGAGGGACATATAAATCGATTTAGTAAATCTCAAATTCAACAACTTTATCACCTGCAACAACAATCACAACAAGATCATCCAATTATGATTCTCGGAGGATTTGGACTATTTGGTGCTCGAATTGCTTCTGCATTACTAGCAGAAAATTATCGAGTCATTGTTGTTTCACGAAAGAACCATCCAGTAGTTTATTTAAAAATTCTTCAACAAGCACAAAAACATTCTAAAGATAAAAATAATAATAAGAATAATTTACAAATACTTTTATTTGATGTTAATCAATTAAATGAATTATCGTTAAATATTGAACGATCAAAATCAAAAATAGTGATCAATTGTTGTGGTCCATTTCAAAGTAAAACAGCGCGTGAATATCGAATTGCTCATATTTGTTTACAAAATCTTGTACATTATATTGATCTGGCTGATTCACGAGAATTTATAATAAATTTTACAAAACAAACTAATATGAATGCTCATGCTAAAGAAGCACAAATTTGTATGGTGACAGGTGCATCTACAGTACCAGGACTTAGTACAACCGTCATAGCAGAATTGAATGAAAAATATTTTCATTCTATAGATACTATTGAAATTGGCATTAGTCCTGGAAATGAAACATCACGATCATTAGCAACTATTCAGTCGATTCTTAGTGGAGTAGGTAAACCATTAAAATTTTTAAATTTAACAGTTTACGGTTGGCAATCGTTGAAACAGGCTAAAGATCAATTTCATGTTAAATTAAATAATAATCATCGTCGTTTTCTATCTGCTGTTGATGTACCAGATTTAGATTTATTACCTTTATTATATCCAACTATTAAATCTGTTGAATTTCGTGCCGGTTTAGAATTAGATATTTTACATCTTGGTTTATGGCTCTGTTCATGGTTTGTTCGAGCGGGTCTAATTCAAGATTTGAGCTATTATTCAAAATTAATGAAATATATTTCAGAATTATCAATATTTACAAAATTTGGATCAGATCGTGGCGGAATGTTTGTTCAAATAAGAGGCACAGACATAAACACTAAACGAGATATTCAAGTAATCTGGCAAATTTACGCTGGTTCAGGAGACGGACCGCAAATTCCAGCAACAGCGGCAGTTATCTTAGTCGATAAAATATTGACTAGAAAGAATAATCAAACAGACTCAACACTCAAATCAGGAGCTTATGCATGTGTTAATTTATTTACTATTGAAGAATACATGTCTAAATTACGTTCCTATGACATAGAAGCAAATGTTAGGATAGACATGATATAAAATGGCTCAACTGGATATAGAATATGTCAGATTGTTTTTCGATCGACCTGCTAGTCTTTTCCACAAGTTTCCAAAAACCTGTTTACGCTTTTGCACTTTCTCTTAGTTATCAAGTAAAGAAAAATTACATCACCACAGGAAAAGGTGATGGTTTTTTTTTCACACATTCATTCGTGCGATTCAGTACTCACACTAAAGAGTATGGCACTTTTGGATTTTAAATCGCGTTTTCACCCTAAGGAAAAAGCTTTTCAAAATTATCTTTTTACCAAAATTTGGCTCTCTCATTCTCCCTCAAAATACCCGACCTCCTACCATTTATCTGTGAAGTGAAACGAATTCTAGAAAAGTCGTATGAAGACTTTTGGACACTAAACTATAGTCGTCCTACTTGTTGATCCTATAACTTCGCCAAAAAAGAAATTTTTGAGTATATAGACGAGCTATCGAGCTTTCATTTGGTATATTTAAAATCGCAAACGGATTTATAGTGACCGAGTTAGAATAAACACATTTATCGTACGAACACTTTTGGAGTGTAGTGTACTGTCCTCAATGAATTTCCAGAACCACACAATGGTGAACCTTCATACTTTGGCTGGATAGTCCATAGACATCTGTAGAGCCTTTGGTGCAAATCTGAAGTCAAAATGATCTTCCTAGACGGAATTGTGAATTTTTTTCACAATGAACCCCGAACTTTCAACAAAACAGCTGAAGAGTGTTTGCTGCTGTGTTCATTTCTTGATTTGTTTCAAGATCTACCAGTTTAGAAGGTGGTACGGGTAGACCATACAAACGGGTTTTTTCTTTCAAAAAAATAGTTGTTTTGTAATAAATAACTCGTTTTTTGTTTTTTTCTTTTTCTTCTGTTTAAATGAAAAACAGCGGTCTGTTCTGTATGTTGACTATTGTGTAAGATAGCGTAAGCGATGATGATTGCTGTTAATGAACAGTTCTTTTAACGAGCTGCATCCACTCTTAAAAAATATACGACATAGGATCAGGGTTGCTCTTTGGATAATGTACCACATTTACGCCGACTTTCTGCCAATCGTATGGCGCTTTCAGGACTAGTAGAACTCATCACTGTGATCACAAAAATCATCTTTTCAAAATAACCGCATGGTAGCCCCCGAAAAGGCTTTCCGGCAAAACTGTTTTTGTTATAACTTTGCTATTTCAAAGATGAAAAGTTCAAACTGCTTTTACGAATACTACTCACCAATACGTAGCGTACTCAGCATCTTCTAGATGAATATAAAGATTAAAACCCTTTCCTTAGTTGAAATGAGATTAGAAAATACTAAATCTCGCTGAATGCAGCCAGATCTTGTTTAGATATATTGATTTAAACATTGTGTATTGAACAGTATTATGACCTGTTCTGTATGAGAGCACTGCACGATCGAACATTTCATATATTTCTTATCATCAGAAGGGAATAGATTTCAACATACTAACATCAAAATAGTAATTCGGTAACAAGATTCTTTCAATTTATAATATTTTGGATTGAGGGAAATCTAATGATTTCTGATGAAATGCTTTATATAGAACCGAAAACCGAAGTAGAAACGTATGGTAAGCTTAGTTTGACCATTCGCCAGTACATACACTCACGTGCAACTGAAAACGAAAAATCCTATGACTAACAAGCAATTGAGTCCTTTTTTCCTAGCCCGTCTATATCCAAAACCAGAATTTAAGATTCTTCCTACTCTCCAGATATACTTCTTTTTCTCTTTTTTACATGTTATTCGCTTTTGCATGGCATCCCAGTGCATCTAACGCATCCCGGATGCTTTAAGGACAGCGGGGTACCCTACTTTATACATCAAAAATGCGCCATGATTTACATGGAAGAATGCATCCAAAATACCTTGACTAAGCATCCACGATGTCTCACGTAGATACTATGGGTCAAGGGGAAAAGGCGACTTTTTTCTTTCTTAGCACTCAGCATCGGCTGTTTCGTATCTCCGGCTTCGGAAAGCGTCCCTCAGCATAGGGAGAAGGGCATCGGATGTTGAGTATCTTAAGCTTTGGAAGGCATTTCAAGGGCTCCGGAAAGCTCCCGAAGCTGCTCTTTTCCCCTTGTTATGAGTGCATAAAACTAGAATCCAAATCTTTCTTTTTTGAATTTTTTTCCACTTTTTTTGGTCGAAAAATAAAATCCTCCTCAGTTTTTAGTTTAATCTATATTTATTAGTCACTTGAAATAAGCATCACAGATAGTCAAGAATCAATGCCAAGTCAAAGCATTGTATTTGGCTATCTGAAGAAACGCAACATAGACAAATGGGAATAGCCACAAAATAAAAAAAACTATTGTCCTTAACTTTTAAGATGCCGGCTTTATTCATATGTTTTTTTTTTGATGGTAACGAGTATTCAAGTATAAAGCGGAAAAAGTGAACCAGCTCATCCCCTCGACAGATTATAACAGACATATTGAAAAAACACAACGACAGAACGCTTTGTCTCAAAAACTGGAAAAGATATTACTCAAACCTTCTCGTGTTTTGCTGATACACGTGTTTCGCATTTCAATTTCACCGAGATTGCGATGAAAGCTTTTTTCTTTCATATCGATTTATCTGTCCTTTACAACAACTTGTACTTTACTGATTGCATTCGATAAGATTTCTTAAAGAACATTCAAAAAACAGGACATTTGAAAGAAATTATGAATTTTTTGCATATGAAGAAAGCCATCAGTAATTGCTTTGTAAGAATTGAAAACTTTCGAAGGTGACATTGGATTTTTCATGGAGAAGAAAATAATATGTGTGGTGTGGCGGCGACAGTCTGAGTCTAGATGCGGCTTACAAAAAAATAAAATGGCAAAAATTTCAAGAATAGTCAATTTTTCTGCTTTCCGTCTTTCTTTACTTCTTTTTCTTCTCCTCTTCTCTGTTTATGATGAAATGATGTGTATCACCTGTTTTCTTCCCATTCTCAAATGTTTACCTTATTAAAAATGAAACATGCACACAAAAAAGTTCACATTTGTTATTTGTTTGTGAGATGTAATTACAGAAATAACAAATGTGAATTTTTTTGTGTGTATGTTTCATTTTTAATAAGGTAAACATTTGAGAATGGAAAAGAAAAACAGGTGATACACATCATTTCATCATAAACAGAGAAGAGGAGAAGAAAAAGAAGTAAAGAAAGAAGGAAAGAAGGTAAGCGATTGTCGTAAACGCTTTGTCAGGGAATCAAATTGAGAGAGTAAATAATATTAAGCTGCTAGAAGTATATCTTTCGCAGGATCTTACGTTGAAATACCATCTTGAAAATACTGCTCGACGATGTAGGAAAATGCTAGGTGCCATAAACCGAATGTTCAAATCTGCTCCATCTTTCATTCGACTTCATATATACAAAACGTGCATTTTACCTCTTATGCTGTGTAGTGCTATCTAACACATTTAAACCAGCTAACTTCTGTGCACAAGTTAGCTGCTCGAATGAAATTAGGTGACTTCGTTTCTGATAGTTCTGTTATCATTGCCAAACTACAGCTACCAGATCTTGCTACAAGAAGAAAATTTTTCAGGCTGACCTTATTTCAGAAAATCGTTACCGGACGAAGTGCGCTTTCCGTTTTTCTCTAATAAGTCCACTTACTACTCAAACATCTCTACGAACATCTAATCGCTGTCTTTGGCAAGTGCTTATATATAAACCTAAAACTACTAGCTCATCGTTCTTACCAAGAACGATAAAGGACTGGACTCAGTTATCGAAGGAGGTTATGGCTGCATTTAACGATCGAGCTTTTCGGGGTGCATTATCGAAACATCTTTTTCCTTGAAGAAGTGTCTATTTTCCTTAATTAAGCCATATATGTTTTATGTTCTATTCTTTTTCCTTTTTTTTGTTCAGTATGATCTAGACAAAGTTTCTTTTAAACTTTTATCATCACCAAGTCAGCTGTAAGATGATGGACTAAGTAAAATACTACTACTACTACTATTACTTAATAAACGATTAACGATCGTTTATTAAGAATCGTTTATTATACAGAGATGCCAAATCCTTTGTCTGTCTAAGCACCTTTGACATCACTAATCCAACGAATAAATCTAAACACTTTATATCGGATTCCGCTTAATATGGATACAACTCCAAGTATTGACCAATATCCTTTCTGTTTGAATAAAAAAATTTTAAAAAATCACCTTAATTCGGTTCAGTAAAATCATTAATATGATATTATAATTTGTTTTCAATACAAACTAAAGGAGAAGGGCGAATAAGAGTAGTTTCGGTCTCCCTATATTTTTGAGATTTTTATATTGGAATCATATCATGGCATGCCTAGGAACATTTCCTGGCGAAAGTTTCGCGAAATCTTTCCATCGGTTTTTTGTGACCTCTAGTTCCTCACCCTCAAGAATTTTGGAAATTTTTTTCTTTTTGATCAACTTGAATTCCACATAGGAATATGTAATCAACCGGGCTGAGCACGAATATGAAGATCGGGGCGCACAGAAAGTTTCGGTTCAAGCAAAAATTCAAAATTATTGACTTTTTTCAAAATCCTTCAAAATCGAGTATAAATTCGTTTTTTTCTTCTGGCAGCACGAAAATATTCATAAAAGCACACCAATCGACACAGAATTTCAAGCTGAATCGACTTAAATGACTTAAGAATACTTTTGAAGCTGTTCAAGTAGAAAAAACCCGAAAGACGGCTGAAAAACAGGTTTTTCACTAGTATCTTGTTGTTTAACATAGCTCGCGCACTTTGCATGCTCTATCCGACGGCAGCCTCAAAAATCGAAAAGGAGGTGTACAAGGGGGTCAAAAACTCAAAATACGTCTGATTTCATGCGTTTTTTCATTTTTTCTACTCATTTTCGTCAGATTTTTTCAATTTTGAAGATGCAATGACTTTCATCCGCAATGCATGATGAAATAAGATGATGCAAGGTAGTATCTTATATAAGAAAATCTGACTTTGTTACTTATCTAAGGGGATCTTTTTACATAACAAAGAAATTCACAGATTTGTCGACAAAGTTCGCGGTATGTAGCTGAATATTGTTTTTGTTGAAAGTGCGGCTGATGTGACAATATCGGTTGAGAATACATTGATGACTGTATTGTGGATTTTGATTCTATGTCATACATGCCACTCGAATATATTGGAATTATTGTCGACTTCAAAATACGAGAGCAGTGGTCATTTTCTGAATAATCATCGCGATAATGTTAGTTTTCAGAATAAAATGCAAGAACCGGGCAAAAACCTCTACTAGATGAGATAATTCATTTTTGGTTATTTTCATCAAAATTAAATAATTCATAACTCAGTCAAAATCCATCCAAACTGCTACGAAATATCAAGATATACTGTGTTTTATATGATCAATGTGTTTCGGTGCTTAAGATCAGTAAAAGATATTCTCTTGATACCTAAGGTTTCTGGAAAACCTTTCAGAAAGCAAAGTATTTTCTGATGGTTTTTAAAACATTTACTAATATACTCTATTTATTTCAGATCAAATAGAGTATATTTTGATATTCTGAAGTAGTTTGGGTAGATTTTGACTGACTTATGGATTTTTAATTTTCTATATATATATATATTGAAAGCAAGCGCGAGGTGCCATAATGCTCTAATTGGGTAGAGAATGCGTATTTAATGAGATCAGCAAGTGCATATATCGAGCTACTAGCGATAGAACTTATTTTCAAAATAGTGGAAGCGCATAGATATTTATCTTTTTATACACCTGGGATCAGACAATCTTTGAGAGTTCATATTTAGTTTTTTGAAATACAACCGCTATTTTCTATCCTTTAACAGCTGCTCCGTTGTCTAATTTGATACATTCCGATAAACTAGCGACACATAATGCGTCGGCGATCTGATGATAAGAATGAACTTGGTTCTAAGAATCATTTCCGCAGCTAAACGCGTTTATTTACATATAGAACGCGTTTCACTACGACAATCTCGAAAAGCGTTTATCTACGTTACAATCTAACGCGTTCAGCTCCGTCAAACATTGAAAAAACATTAATTCAAAACGCGTTAATTGGTAGTACGCTGAAATGCGTCATTTTCTATCGCATCCGAACGCGTTCACAATCCTTCAACGCCGGAAAACGTATCGACTCATACCTGCAACGCGGTTCAATGTGTTCGTTTCTAACGCGTTTAAACGCAATAAAAGTTAACGCTTTCGAAAGCGTCAATCTACTGGAAAATCGCCCTGCTAAACGCGTCAAAACCTGCAGCGTTACTGTTGCACAAACACGTTATTCTGCGTTGAATTTTGCTGCATTTGCACGTGTTTTACTTTAACTAACGCGTTTAGTGGTTCTAAAACGCGTCAAATGTATTCTTTAACACGTTTATAAGTGCGTTAACTTATAAAAAGTGTTGGTCAAACTGTATTTATAGTATATTTCAAAGTTCGCCTGCTTGAAAATATACAAGTTTTCTTCAAGTAAGATTTGCGGAATGCGAACAAACATCACAAAAATTCTTCATGAACAAATATGTACTCGAAGTGTGCACACCGCTCTACATCAATAGAATAAAATCTAAGGATTCTTGCTTGGACGCTTGCAGCTTTCATTCGTAATAACATGAGGCAAAACATCGGCAAAGTATTATTTCTGAAAGTGATAGTATGCTCTAGCGTTAAGATAAATTCTGAACAACTTGTGCACACCCACAGTATGGTTCTAAAACACTTGCTTTGAACGAAACCTTTTAAATCTTTTGATTAAAAGCAACTGGTTCAGATCCACGGCACAACTAATTTTTTTTTTGTTTTATATGAAAAAATAGTCACGTATTGTATGACTATGTTAAGCACATTTTTACTAAACCTCTGTGACTATGCCAATGCCAAGAATGTGACTAAATTTTCAGTGACTAATCTGGACACTTCATTTTTTGCAGTGCATTCATAAATAAATAATAATAGCGATTCTGTTATGGCTACATATCATAATGTTCGTCGTGCTGTAGCATCAAAAGTATCGCAAAAAGCTGTAGGTACTGGTAATCCACGTAATAATCAACATAAACGACAATTCTTATTAGAAAAATTAAGTTTAATGGATAAAAAGATGTTAGGTATATGTAAAACTGATAAAAATGAAACAGAGCTCAATTGTTATTTATGCTTTATTTTGGAAACACCGCCATCATCCAAAACTCATAATCGTACATCAATTGAAACTGATACAGCACCATCATTAATTCCTACAAGAATAGGTACCATAGATGAAAAAATATTGAATACACAATTTTTTTTACCACTATTAGTTGTACAGAACCAGGAATGGAGAGAAACATTTGACTCGTTTTTTGAATCTCCAATATCAGCATGTCGCTATCCATCATTAACAGTTGATAAAAAAACATTAATTCGTGATCAAACTAAAAATACAATAAAACAAGTTTATGATATTGATATATTAGATGTTTATTTTCAAACATTATTAACATCATTATCAACATATTATTCACAAAAGGATATAAATTATAATGATAAATTATCAGAATATATATGGATTTTATTACGTACAATACGTTATATAATAATGACAAAAATGGTAAATGAAAAAATTTCCACAGAACATCAGTTGAATGAAACTATAGGACAATTACATGAATTAATTCGAAATCGTGATAAGTCAATTAATGATGCAGCCAAATATAAAAAGTTTATATCCAAACTACATCCATCAGATTATTATTATTGTTTATATAATTTAATGATTTTATATCCAGAAGATGTTCATAAATCAAATCTGATGCAAATGGATACTATACTTCTAGGTAAGATTTATTTACATCAGACTATTTCACACTCAAAGTACGTGTATAGTGTCGTTACAAGCAATGTCTATGGTATTCTTACTAATGATCACTATAGAAACTTGTTATTTGAGGCTACATTAATTCTACATTGCTACATACAGAATCAACCATTCATAACTTAATCCAGTTTTTTGCATTATAATCGTACTGTAAACATCCGTTTAGATGTCTGATGATCTCATCTAATCGTAATTTTAGTATGTTCTTTCAATAAGCAGAAATGAAGGTAGAGTTTACAATACAAGACATTTAAAAAGAAGCAAACAAATATATTCATGTTGATATGAATTTAACACATAGTAATGGTAACAACACAGATATAGTTAAGTTAATGTAAATATTGGTCATTTCTAGTCAATCCTAAATATCCAAATCTAATCGCTATCTTCAACGCAAAATTGACAATTTTTGCGTTCACGACAGCAATCTGATATTATTATTAAAGAATAACTAGATTTGACCTTAAATATTTTATTTACGCCATTATTGTGGATTGAGATCATAGCAATGCAACATAATGAATACATTTAATTACTTGTTTTATTTTAAATGTCTTCCATTATAGAAAACAAGTTCATATGAATCATAAATGACATATCATTAGAATATTAATGCTAAAGATTTTGTTTTCTTTTAGAAAAGTATACGTGAAAGATATCACTTCTGTACATGGTTAAAGTTGTGGAATACTTGAATGAAAAATATATAGATAAGAAATGCATTAAAGCGTTATTTAATTTATGTTATTTCATTTAATTGTTTAAATTGATGAATCAAAGCAATCGAGAGAAAGAAAGCTTGAATTAAAAAATATCTTGTTAGAGAACTTACTTTTTCTGAACTAATTTATCAATTTGAACAACTCTTTCCCGAACAATAACTACCAGAAGTTACTCAACCTCATGTTTACTCGGCTTATGTATGGAAGAAGAATCTTAGAGTACAGTGAAAGAGTACTTTCATTTCTTTTCTATCTTTCGTGCGTTCCGATCGTATGACGCATAACTGGAGATGGGCCGTAACGAAGTTGAATAGAACGAATACGTTTAATGTGCAGTATACGAAGCGACAGAAGGATGAATATTCTCATTTTCATTCTTTTCATTTCATTATTATGTCTCATTACGAATAATCGACTATTCATATAACTTACAAGGGACGGTCCTCAGCTTCCAAATCCCTCTGTTGATGAAACTTATGTGATAATAGGTAATCTATGATGCTGATTACGAATATCATAATGGGAAGGGCTAAGACGGCTTCAGAGATCCAGTTTTCAGGTGGTGAAATTTTTTCTGTTTAAAGCAATTTTTAATCAATTTGCAGATCTTACCGAATTACCTATGTAAATAATCTTTTTGATATAAACTTTATTTATTTAGAAGAAATGTTGAAAATATCAATATAAATTATGAGAAGAAGGAGGCGAATCCATTACATCTTAACGTAAATTGACTGAGGACAGAGAACAGCACTAGAATACATGTATAGAAACGATACACGGCGACAACATAAAAGAGAGAAAGTAATGACAATAACAAGAATACTAATAACAAAAAAAAAAAAAGAACAGAGAATAACTGATGGACAGAGGGAAGAATAATCTTTTTCGATCTTTAGGCCTTTCCTGGCTGACTTTTAAGACTTGACGTTAAAGTGTCTCGTCTGATGAAAAATCTAATTTCACCACGAAAATAGCGCAAGTCGTTCCGGGAAAGATCTACTTATCGAAAAAGATTATTTACATAGGTAGCTCGGCAAGATCTACAAAGTGGACCGATTAAAAATTGCTTTAAAAAGAAAACAATTTCACCACCTGAAAACCGGGTCTCTGAAGCCGTGTTAGCCCTACTCATTATGATATTGGTAAAGCATCAAAGATTACCTATCATCACATAAGTTTCGTCAACAAAGCGATTTGAAAGCTGGGGACCGCCCCTGGTTAGTTTCGTTTGTTCTCATTCTGAAAAGACAAACTATATTATCAGTGATTTATGAGTAAGTATAGACGAAAGTATCGTGAATAAGACAAATATGTGATATAAAGGTTTTAAACTAATTAAAAAACTAATTAAAAATATTTAAAGAAAACTACTGTTACGTTCATTACATGTTACGTTTCTTACGTAGTTTTCGCTTTCTCTTTTCATACACGCATTATTCGAATATTTTTCTTAGAGAACGTACTTGGGAATGAAGCCGGTACTTGCCTTTTTTCAAGAAGTAAATTTACTTGTAAGTACTTGTCCTTACTTGCCGACTACTTTCAGAAAGTACTTCTTAGCAATAAGGCAAGTAGTTCGATCAATGGCTAGTACTTAACAAGTAATCAAGTACTTGCATCAAGTACGTTCTCTACAGCTTTACTCGTATAAATGAAACATAGATTGCTATACGGCTTGTCCAGCTAACGGTATCCTTTTTTCGCTCTTTTTCAAGAGATTATTGCAGTAAAGCTACAAACTAATCTAAAGTTGCAACTACATAATTAAGTACATTAAACATTTCTCTACAAAATGAAAAGTGTCTTGGCTCTGAATGTTGTTGATTAGTTATGAAAATACAGCTGTCGTACAAAACAGCCCCCAAAATCGACTTTCGAGCTATCTGAAAAACATGTCTAAAAGATTGAAGACGAGCAGACGAAAATTCAACAAATATACCAGTTTGTAGAAAATTGTTTGCTCTATAAGATGTGATAGCTTGTTAAGTTCGAAACTATTCTAATTAATCTTTATTAATCAAAGAGAACTCAGAAAAATCGTCACGGTGTGCACACGCCGTATAGTGCATAACGAGCAATATTTCGTTCCGTCCTGAAGATTCCGCGTTGAAGATAGCGATTAGATTTGGATATTTAGGATTGACTAGAAATGACCAATATTTACATTAACTTAACTATATCTGTGTTGTTACCATTACTATGTGTTAAATTCATATCAACATATACAATGAATATATTTGTTTGCTTCTTTTTAAATGTTTTGTGTTGAACAAAATAAGTTTACTTGAATAATAAAACGATGTATCATTCAGGACATCAAATGCTTAATTCGTTTCATACATAACTACATATGTATTTATGTATGCAAAATGTTTTAATTCACTTAAATTTTTACACAGGCTTATTAACTCAATATGATTATTCTAACGGTGCAACATTGGATGGGATATGTGACCATTTTTTACGTATGATCTTAGAACGTTCAATGAAATTTGTGCCTAAATTAAATGTTGCTAATTATGTCAATAAAGATGAATTAGTTCAATATTTACATGAAAATGCTGGTGTACGTGTACAATCATATTTACGTTATTGGTCATATGTTGTTCAAGTAATAAGACAATTAATATTAGATAGGGAATATTCATTAAAACAATTTCAAGCAACATTAACAATAATAAAAGAACAAAATCAACAAATGAATGGTTTATTACCATTTTGTTTTGAAATAAATCCAGAATGTCAAAAATATTTAAATGATCAGATATTAGCTGAATATATATTAACAACGGCTAATTTAAAGGATAAAAAATTTATTGTACTAACAACTAGTATATTATGTACAAATAATGATAATAATACACCTAGTTTAGATCAAGTATTAACAAATAATATAAAAAGAATTGAAAAATTACAAAATAAATTAAAAATAATGACATCAACAATGAAAGATAATTCAATAAATGAACAAATAAATACTACATTACAAGAACAAGATGTAACAAATCAAAATATAACACAACAAGAAGAAAATACTAATCAAATATTGAACGATATAACAAGAGACAATAGTATAGAACAAATGCAAAGTACATTAATAGAAGATAATACAAAACAACAAAATATGATCTGTGATCATGAAAAAGAAAAATATTTATTACAATCTACTACGATTCAGCATAATGTTGAATCAACAGTAGAACAACAAGATGATAACAACAGTATTACAACTGACAACAATCATCAAAATGTATGTTATGAAACAGTTAATATTCTGATTTATTTATTAGATGAAAGTATTTCTACCGAGTCCCTCTCATATTTACAGTCACTTCTACCGCCTTTTCCCAAACTCTTCTTAGATGAAAGGTCTATTAAGGAGATTGCTATTTATCAAGTTACAATTAGTTTCAACTGTTGACGTCATAATTTCCCCTGCCTTGAGATTCGGGGCTATTTACTCATCGTGGCCTCATTCAGACTATTTTTATTGTAAATGAATGCTTCTTAACGAAATTTTTAAAATGCATTCATTATATAGCGCGCATCACTTAGATTATATAGTGATTATTAGAAAAAGATTTGTTCCTTAGATGGCCGATGATTACAGTTCAGAAAGTAAAGTTAGGTCAAGCTAAAGTTGACCTATTTTGAAAAATCAATGTCTCGCATAAAGTTAGTGAAAAATATCAAAGCAATATGTACATTTAAATTCACATTTTGTGATCTATTGACTGACATTTATTTCATTTCTGCAACTCAGCAAGTACAGATAGCGTACTTCGAAAATCTAGTAGGATTTTGTCAAAAGTGCCTACTTTTGACATCATAAATATTTGCCTATTCCACAGGTAGCATCGCGCATTAGAAGGCCATCCCCGACCCAGTATCGTAAAATCCAGAATAGAAGGGTACCCTTGTTAGCAACCTGTCGAACATCTTTTTTTAGTATTTATTATGTAAAAGAAACCGTGGTCTCGGGAAGAAAAGAGTTCTTATTAAGAATTAGTTCCAAAATAAGATTTAGACTAGCTTTTCGAAATGGCGATGGATGGAAAGGTGTTAGGCAAAACTGTTCGCGATTGGCAGAAAGAAGCAAGAAATATCATAAAGGCGCTGGGATACTAGTTGAATCTAGACAGTGTCTAAAGTTTCAAATGACCGTATAAACATGCGGAAACAGCAAGACTGGAACCCTCGAGGCTACCATAACCTCATCTTTACCTTCTCTTACTCACATAGTCCGATGGCCGTCTAAAAGCTCTCGGAAAAGATACATCACTCATAGTCCTAACCAGTCTATTAAATAGTTGATCTGTACAGGAGCTGGCTCATATCAAAATATGATGGTTTTTTTCTAGAGAAGCGACCATCGAGATTTTTACATATTCGGAATCAGCGCGTACGTTGTACGGTGCAAAGATCTCGTCGGGGTACCGACACTTTTTGGACTCGGATTCTCCGCTGTGGATTTTCACGGTATATTACACTATATTCAACAGTAGACATCAACGATGCCGCTTTTTTCCCGTTCTCTTTTATGTTTCATTTTTCTTTGCTTTGATATTTTTTCTTTCTGTGCACACTACACTATAGAGACAGATATAAAGCAAGAAATGGAGAAAAGAACAAATTTTATCGTTTTATCGAAAAGAAGGATTCTACTCACTATGAAATTAGTGT